CCCCCCTGCTCTAACCCACTAGACCCCACTCCCCTCCCAGAGCCAGGGAGAGAACCCAGGCGTCCGGGCCCCTCACCGTGACGACGATGTCCTTCATGTAGTCGAACTCCTCGGGGTGCAGGAAGGCGGTGAACTCCTCCCGCGTAGCGACCATGTCTCCGTCCCGGTCGGCCGCCCTGAAGCGCCGCTCGTCCCGCGCCAGCATCTTGCGGTAGGACTGTTTGTCCTCCAGGTCACCAAACTCCTCCCCTGGGGGCGTGGAGCTGTGAGCCCCCAGCCTGGGGATGGAACCCAGGAGTCCTGTCTCCCAGCCCAGCCCCCGCCCCAGTTCTGTTGCCTTCAGAACTCCCCCATCAAGCAGGTTATTCCCACGCTAGCCACACGGTGGCGACAGAGACACCACCCAGCTGCTCAGGGGAGTTTGGGGGGGGTCCCTCTCTCAGGGCTGCCCTATCCTGCCCCATAGCAGGGCCTGGCCCCCTCCATACTGCCACTCCCATCCCAGCTGGGGCCTGACCCACCCCCAGCATAACACCCCCCCACTGTCACCCTGACCCCTCAGTAGCTCCCCCTCCCTATGGCCGGGCATCTCACCTTCCAGGCAGCAGCCCCCACGCCCCTCCCAGAGGCAGGGAGAGAACCCAGGAGTCCTGGCTCCCAGCCCCCCCTGCTCTGACCCACCAGCCTCCTCTCCCCTCCCAGAGCCAGGGAGAGAACCCAGGAGTCCTGGCTCCTAGCACCCCCCCCTGCTCTAACCACCAGCCCCCACTCCCCTCCCAGGGCCAGGGAGAGAACCCAGGAGTCCTGGCTCCCAGTCCCCCCTGCTCTAACCCACTAGCCCCCACTCCCCTCCCAGGGCCAGGGAGATAACCCGGGGAGCTGTGGCGGGCAGGGTCTCGCATGGCCGGAGCAGGACCCTGGGGGCGGGGGGGCTGGCGCTGGTGCAGGCCCCCGGCCCCCCTCACCCTCGTAGTAGCCGTAGGTGGCGTTCTTGAACTCGGGCCAGGCGATGCGCCCGTCGCCGTCCCGGTCGTAGTCCGGCCAGTTCTTCTGCACGTTCTCAAAGATGTACCGGTTCTGGGTGTGTTTGATCCAGTCCTTCAGCTCGGCCTGGGTCACGAAGCCGTCCCGGTCCCGGTCGATCCGATCCACGATCTTCCTGCCGTGGGGGGGGGTACGTCAGGGGGCGCTGGACGCCTGGGTCCCACCCCCAGCCCCTCTTCAGAGAATGGACGGAGGGGTCCCACAAACAGGGAGAGAATCCAGGAGTCCTGGGTTCTCTCCCAGCTCAGGGAGGGGTGTGGGGTGCAGTGGTTAGAGCCGGGGGTT